CTAGTGGAAAGTTACAGGGGGTGATAGAGTATATAAGTCTAGTGTAATTAATCCATTTATACAAATACTTCCGCCTATAAGACAGGGGCTAATACATTGCCATAACACTGAATATGGGTCCGACAAACACTATAAACGTCTTTGCACGCATAGTTCCTAAAAAAAAAAAAACAGAAAAACAGCATCATGCCAACTTTGAACACCTGACACGGCTCCTTAAGATAACAGTATGAAAACTTAACATATTATAATAAAATTATGAACAGTAACAGACCGGTTAATGTCACTTTTTAGCGTTTAGTGTCTCTTGAGGATGAATCAACGTGAGATATAAAGTAAAATATTACATTAACTCTAAAAAAACAAACATTTGACGGCAACTGTAGGAAAATGAGACACCTTGGCCATATAATGAGTTAAGTGGATAATTGTAGGGATATTAATGGGGAAAATTGAGTGTAGGGGGGCCAGGGTGAGGCAAAATGCTGAAAGGAAGGGATGAGCTGTGAGCCCCCAAATGATAAAACATCTGGGAGGATTGGTAAAGACAGCCCGAAAGCTTTTGGAAAGGTGACCCGTCGGCAAGACGTTCGTATACAGCACATAAAAGTAGGTGAATAAGATTAAATTTAAATGAGCAAAGTGAACTTAATTTTAATACTACAATTTCCATCTACACAAAAAATGCCTTAAAACAAGTTCTATAAAGAGAATGACGAACTGTAAGCCTCCGTATATTAGCCCATTTTTCTGGATGCACAACTTCCTCAAGGGTACTGGAACGGTAAACACAAACGTCAATGGACTTTGTAAACAGTTTACACGTGGGCTGTGCATGATCTCGCCTGAATTACTCGACTCTTTAGTAATAAGTTAGGATAAAACTCATTTACATTACACTTTAAAAGTTTTTATATTGTACAAGTTATTTTAATAAATGATTCATTTCTATAAGTACTTCTGTAAATAAAACAATGACGCCAAATTTTCTCGCTGTGTAAATTATCATCAAAATGGAATGTTTCTCAGCTGTGTATAGTGAGTCACGATGCTGTTGGTCTCGTTCTCTGTTTGTCTCTGTTGTTGTCTGTTGTTCTGTTTGTCTTTGTTGTTTTCTGTTGTTGTTCTGTGTGTGTCTATTGTTCTGTTTGTGTCTGTTGTTCTCTGTTTATTATCGTGTTTGTCTTGGCCTTCAATGTGGTATTCAATAACAAAAATAGTCATAAATATACCACAATCTTATAATGTCTGCCGCGTGATAAGCAAAAATGATTATATATTTTCTTGTGATTTATTTGGTCTTTTAATTTGTTGAGGGCGGCCTAAAGAAGAAGTACGTATAATTCAGGAAGTGTCGTATCATGTTCAGTTGTATCATCCACCTGGATATTTCGGATGATAAATATAACTGGTTTTTAGATAATCTCTGTCGTGGCTGTCATGAAACAATTCCGTTAGAGAACTATTATAGAAAAAACTACCTCTTCTCATGTGTGACTAGAGAGCGTCTGTCAGGAGGGCTGTCATTAGCTGGAGAGTGTGACGTGGGGTCCAGGGCTCTTGGATCGTGCTCCGGGAATGAGGTTAGCCTAGCCACTGTAGCCAGTGCAGTTGACAAGTTGTCTGGTCTTCCTGGATAGTTCCTTGACACCGGATAATAGACATCACCTGCCTAGGGTGTGGTTGTTGTATTGACGGCAGCTTCTACACCTGTAAATCAATTCCAGCATTTACACATACTGTAGGTGGACTTAGGTGTTGTAAGAGTGCAGGATATTTAGAAACATGATATCACACTCTCCACCGTCACAGCGTGGCTGACGACCGCTCACTTTAGCTGCTTGCGTCTGGGCCTAGCAGGAAGAGTCGCCGACAGAGAAATAAAGAAACTGCAAATTCTTGTCCCTCAGTAAAGCACCTGGCGACCGCCCTCCCAGAGGTTGGGGGCGGGAGAGAGAGGCGGTACTTCCTGTATTGTCGTGGAGGTGCGCAGTTGTGGACTTTACAATCACCAAAAAACAAATTCTCTATGAAAAACGCCGTGAAAAAAAACCTTCGCGTAGAAAACGTTACCATTTTCCAGAACTATCACACGCCACCTGAACCAAAGGCTATCTTAAAATGGTCTTTGCCTGAACCCAGTTCACACAAGTTCACATTGATAATATTTTGTTACTGTTATTGAATAGTGCAATTACTTAACTAATGTACACACAATCCAAAAAGTATCTTGACGGAGAAGTCCGATGAATTTCAAAATGAACGCTGTGATTCCTGTTGTTTCAGTAGGGTTGTCAAAATACTTCGGCTGTTGTGTCTAACAACAAATTCGGAAAGATACATTTTTTAGTGTGTGGCTACGTGCCTATAATGCATCATAATGTCAACATGAATATTGACTTAGAATGAATATAAACAGTGCAGGTAAACAGAAAGTTGATTTAACCCAAGGAGAGCCCAAGGAAGAAGTCGCTAAAGCTTATTTCCACCGAGTTTTTATAAAGGCGTCACACCCCGCAGGTATCCACATCAAAGGTGGCTTCAACTACCATTAGGTGTTACTTTTAGGTGCTTCAGGTACAAGGGTTATTTAGCACCGTTCACTAGGTCTTAAAATCTTACAACAAACAACTTTAAAGAAAATTGGGATAAGCCGATGTGTCATATTTACCAACACATTGAATTTCGACAAGTGTTTGACATTTTTTTACAGATATTTTTAACACCTTAAAGATACGAAGATGGTCAGTGGCCGGGATGGTTATGGCGACATTTAGCTTCTCAGTTTCCACCATTTTTGCCATAAATATATTTTTTTAATCCTGCTCGAGTGAGAGATGTTTATATAAGGGAAGCTGCATGTGACCGCCGGGGGGAGGGTAGCGGGTCTAAAATGTAAAAAAACTTTTAAAATGGTCATATTTATCCCAAGATGTCTGACCTTCGCTTCACTCATGCCATCATCACCTTGAATGTTTATTAGAACGAATTTCCGATTTGATCACGAAGGCCACACCAGAGAAGAAATAGCCGTAAAGTTAAATAGTACAAAATACGCCTTCACACACACACACACACATCAGAATACCTCAAGTCTCCGGAAGCAAAGACCTCAGTTTAACCATACAAAACAACACTTGTCTATCATTGGAACATCCTATTATCCAGTAATGTTAATACTGTACAGGGACTTCAGAAAACTTCAAAAGTCAAAACACCTCCTGAATTTCGCGTGACGGCTGGACAGGGGACAGGTTAATTATATACTGGTATATACACAGAAAAAAAAAAAAAAATATATATATATATATATATATATATATATATATATATATATATATATATATATATATATATATATATATATATATATATATATATATATATATATATATATATATATATATATATATATATACACACACACACGTATGTTTTCTTCGTACGTTTTACGTTAAGTTTATAAGGTCAGTGGAATTTTGGTTAGCTTTAGTGACACAGTGTTTATTGGTGGCGTAAATACGGATCTGTGACGCAGGGAGCCAGACATCAGCCAACTACAGTATGGTAAAGAAAATGGGTGTTGGTTATCCACTTCCCTTACTAACATCTCTTGCCTTATGTTTACTGTACATTCCTTAACGTCAGACTGTTGACAACAGGAATTTGTGGGACCGGCGGGGGAGTAGTGATGTTAGGCTTCCAGATGTTGTTAAGCGAAGAGGATGAAGGTAAAATTAAAGGTAACAAAAATGTGTAAAAGAAGATGTTTAATGACGTTAATGATCGAGTGAGACGATGTTATTTATGCTACAACTTCCACCTGTATTTTTTCATTACTTATAATTATATGGTATAATTTTCACTAGTAACAGTTCTATATATATCTATTCGCGGAATTTAAATTATTTAGTGATATACAACCTCTGTGTATGGTTTTAATAAATATTTAATATAGATTGTGGTGGGCAGTAAACGCTGAGGTGGCGATAAACGTTTTCATGAATGGTATGTGTCATAATGAGTGATCGAAGCTACAAGATCGGGATTCATTAATTTTGATGATACCCATTGATGTTATTTTTTAAGTTTAGTTTAAGGTAACTAGTTAGATGGAGATGCATTCCTACATAGTTAGTTATATAAGGCTTACATGAACCATTGTGAATTAAGGAAACAGCCATGTGTAGGTGATGTTGTGTTAATAGCCTTAGCGAGGGTCATATGGGATTAAGGTCATGTCTCTTGTTTACAAAGGTGCGATCTAATCTTGTCAAATTGTAAAGTAAAATCTCTTAAGATGTTTTAAACGTAAGGGTAGAAGGTAATGACGAAGAAAGGAAGACGAAGAACAGAGATGAACGCGTGGATGACGAAGGGAGAGAGTATGAGCCCGTTATATATACTCTTACGATCTATTCTTGTCGAACGTTTTTTTTGCATTATAATTCGTAGATTTTTTCTTTGATAGCTTGATTTAAAGTATTAGATCTAGCCATCCGCACCTATACGCACACACACACACACACCAAATAGAAGTCTGAGTCACACCATATGGTTACATGGTTCTAGTATATTACGACTAACAAACAAATTTACATGAATTCTGCGTGAAGGATTGGGGCGTATATACCTGTGTTGTCAAATCTGTCACACTAAATTGATATAACTTTTTGTTTTATTGCTGGAACATGATGGTAATTAGTTCATAGGTGGTTTATATGTTGTATTTCATTTAAGACATCGTTTACTGTGGTGATATAACCAAATTAGACATACCGTACATTAGTTCAGGTAAGGTTAGTAACGATGCTGTTTCTATACAATGATTATCGTTATTATTATTACAGATGTAGCAGTAGTAACTGTTTCTTTTAGTAAAGTTATGATAATAGTAGGAGTAGCATTGTTGGATACTATATTACTAATGACAATTATTCCTACAACTATTAAAATCATTAAGAATATAATTAAAATTATCAATGTTGTTACCTTGCCAGGTGTGCGAGGTGTTAGTGTGGGCGGCAGGTGTAGCAGGAGACGATGCTTGGCGAGCTTGTGTGTTTGGCTGTGGTGACCTGGGTGATCTTGTGGTCCCTAAAACCTCCTGCACAGCTCCTGGGGGTCTACAGCCGCCCTGGACTATGGTTCTGCCCCAAGGTCCTCCTCTTCTACCTCCTCGTCAAGCTACGTCGCTGGGTAAATCACAGCTTAAAGCTAAACAGCAGAGAATTCCTATTCTTACTGCAGTTTTCTGGAACCTGCTGAACACTGAGTTATTATTCCCTTCAGACTCTGAAAACCTTAGGTCACATTTTCGTCAGGTCACACCGGTAGAACTAATGGTCAGCAGGTCAGGGTGTAGGATGCAAAAATTTGTATGTTGTCTCCCATAACTAGTACTGTACATACTCTACATTTACTGTAGATATTTAAGGAATAGTGTCCGTGTAATTTTAGCGCCATGTTGGAAATTCTTTATTGTGCTTTAGTTTCATTCAGTTAGAGTGGTATATTCTAACAACTTCAGTTACAAGATTGTACGTCAACAGAGAGGAGGTGGAGGTGAGGAAGGTGCGTCCGGGAAGGGGGATGCCGGCTATGGCGTCAAGTCTCGCCCCACCACGGAGATGATGGAGTGCGTCCAGCCCCTCTCTCAACACCCTAAGGTAATGCCACACTGAAAATTCTCACTTACTCGCCAGTAGTGTACTGTATATGCTCATGTCTTGGCCACTTGTCAGTCTAGTAGCTGATCGGGCGGTCGGTGAGTTCTCTTTTGGCCATTGCAGGTACTTAGCATGTATTCTACCTGACCGTGATTAATTATGATTTAACCTTGACTGTTGGCTGTTATTGGTAGTTAAGGGATTGTACAGTTGCTTGAATGTCCTTGCACATATACCAGCAATGATTTAACCAGGACTTAAAAAGAATGTTTATACTTGGTGTAAAGTAAGCGCTGGCACAATGAGCTTAACATGACCTTATTGTGAAAATCAGTTAAATTATTTGCCCAAGGAAAAAATACTCAGTAATCATGTACAGTACTGAAATAATGACGAAGGGTGATAGCTGCTCTTTACCACCACCACTACAGTACTTCGAAACTGAAAATTTGCGAAGGAAAACCCTGAAATAAGAACTAGCTCAGAAGTAGTGGTACAGATGTGTTAATCATATTTTTATTGCTGTGTTTACATTATCAGGTCAATGTTAGGAAATGTTTACATTTTGTGATATTTAAAGCTGTTTATATTATTTGAGAATGTTAAGAGATGTTTACATTATCAGAGAATGCTAGTGCTGTGTGCATTTGTGAAGGAAGAACTAAAAAGAGTTCTCGTCTGCAGGCCATCGATGCTGTGTACTTCAATGCAGGCAGTGAGAATGGCCACTATCTCGTAGCTGCCACCGCCCGCCGACCTAAAGGGGTTATTAATGGTGTTCTCTACATCAGGGTAAGACATTCACATCATCCCCAGGCCTTAGCTATCTCAATCCTTACATTCACTAAGATTCTGTAGGATAATTTTGTTCCATAAATCATACTGAGTGAATATCTAGATAATGGGGTAGTCTTAATTCAGTATTGGGTCATTCCAGATACAGACATTACAAGTGTGTATTAGTTTGAATCTTGTAGTTAGAAGTGATCTTACCTCTCTAGTTATGAAGCATACACACCAACACCATCTCCAAATTAGAACAAAAACCAGATTCATCCATTTATACTAGTAATGATTGTAGAGAGTTTAGGAGAGCACAATTATTTGCCCATTAATGAAGATTTAACTTAAACAGTGTCCACCTTCTCTCATATGAGCTTGTGATTTGGTTGGCTTGAGCTGCCCATGGATGACACAAATTCATAACCATTTGGCTACTGATCGTCATTCAGGTGGACTATATATAGGATGCTATAGAGGCACCATCTTCTGTTGCTGCTATAAGTGTAGAGAATTTAATGCCTTAAGTTACCCCATTTCTTCACCGACACAATACTTTGGTTTAGTTTGATTGTATAATGTGACATTCGAGAAATGTGATATCATACCCTGCAACCAATTATAGACTGGCTGATTGGCATTCTCTAGTCATGTCCCTGAGGAAGAGATGTTTCATAGTGAGGACTGAGAAAGACATGTACCCCACAGATCCCGAGTTTGGGGCTACTACAGCTGCCCAAGATGCCCGACACATTAATGTTTGGTAATGGGGAGCACTACGCTGCTGAGGGCCTCCGCATCACCCCACTGTCACCCATGGCTGCCTGGAGGATACAGTACAATGGGCCCATGAAGTATAATTATAATTCTTCTTTCTTTGAAACTGTCCAGTTTTTTTATCATTAGTTTTTAGTTCCACTACAAATTTTTCTGTTACATTGTACCCATGGAGGTCAGAGTTCTACACTACTTGCTATGAAAGTTTTCAAATACTATACCATCTTAAAGTAGAGTATAGTACAGTACGGCTCCCACGAACTACATGTTGGGGACCACTACTATATAGGACTGTTTTATGTTTTTAAATATGGTAATTTTATTGTACCTGTAATAATGAAGCTAATTACAGTATACTGTATAGAACTGTACTGTACTATTACTTTTATCTCCTTCACCACTGATCAGCTCGTTTAGTACAAGATATACTGTAGTACAAAATGTTATGGGCTTTTACTCTGTACTGTATATGATGCAGGCAATGGAGTATGAGTGGGAGGCAAAATTTGTCTAATTATTAAAGCTTTCCTGTATACTGTAGTAGTATGGAAGCTGATTACAGTATAGGTTATGAGGAGTCAATACAGTACTAGAGTTTCAACAGTTCTGCATCACTGAAGTACAGTACTAGTCTAGATAATATTTTAGGAAAATTTATCATACTATACACTGTATATGTGCTGTTAAAGAATTTTTTTATTTGGGTAACATGTTAAGAAAAGAGTATAAAGGTTAGACTAACCTTTCTGTATCGTTAAACTTATCTGGTAATTATGGGTTTATTTCTTTATTGAAGGCTTCTGATGAATATGTTAGTACTGTACTGTACTATACCCTGTACCTGTAACAGATTAAGAGGAGAACCACTCTCAAGGCGCCAGGTGGAGGTGGACGTCCAGTGGACCAGCAGTCAGCCATATTTCGACTTCGACACTGATATGGATGCGTGGGCCCTGGCACGGAGTATCGCACGGGAACCCTGGTCTAAAGAGTACTTTCAGGCCCTCAAAGAGTGAGTACCTTCAGTAATAACCTCCAACCCTTTCAATCTCTTTTTTTTAACATAGACCCTAGTGTTGAAATCTGCCTCCTTCAGAGATAAATCACAATTGCCTCATAGGTTTAATCATTTAATACAGTACTGTACAGTACTGTATACCTTGTATGCATAACCAAAGTGTTGGTGTCCATTAGTTTATGGGGATAGTCATGCTGCTGTTGAGTAGTGCTGGGTTGTATAAAGTGATGGATAAACTAAATGGAACCTAGGGCGATGTTGTGAAAGAAGAACACCATAAGAGAGCTCAAATAGAATGAATAAAACCAGATTAGGGGAGTCTTATTTGGCTCTTGCAAGAATGAAAAATATACCATAGGGTACATGTCATTCAAACCTGAAAGACCAATACTATAACCTTAAAATATTGAGTCTTTCAAAAATACATCTGACCTTGATATGTCTGAGTTACATGAGTCTTAAAGTATGAGGCAGAGAGTTAATATGTATATATTTGGTCTTGGCAGAGCTCACCAGACACACTACGAGCAGATGGGGAGGATAGAGGGGACAGTGGTGGTTGATGACCATCCTTATATACTCAGGCTAGACTCCATGAGGGATCACAGCTATGGTAAGTTGAGCTAATATAGTGTCTGAACTGTGGTGCAGGTTGTTAAAAAGTTCTTGAAAACACTGCACCTTAAAATTATTAGCCTCAGTTGGTGTTTGATTCATCATATGTAATATACATAATGTACCTAGATTTATTATACAGAGTATTATTTTGAGCATGTCTAATGCTGTACAGTAGTTTTATAAAATGTTATGTACTTGACAGCAAGGTGGAAAAATTTGGAGTACTTTGACATTACTTTATGATACTGCATTCTTAAAATTCATCTTTCTTATTTATTAGTGAATTTTGCACATGGATTGTTACTTTTACGACTGAGAAGTTTGAAGCTGTTAATACTGGTTTCCGTGTGAGTCTATCAGTCACTGAAGTAACATTTAAACCTATGTAGACTTATTAGACATTGTTTCATACATTGCACAAATGTGTCATGATGTAGTTTCTACTCTGGCAGGATACAAGCGGGAGTGGAAGCTGATGCATCGGTACGGCCTGCATATGTTCACAACAGAGGATGGCCTGCAGGGCAATGTGGGTGTCGTCTGCCAACCTGTGACATGTACCCAGTTAGTAACTTAGCTCTACTTAAACACAAAATTTTGAATCATGAAACAAATTTGTAAGGCATCTCCTAGTGCTGCATATTGTCCTACTTAACTTTGTTGAGTGGAACCTCCTGAAAAATTACAGTAGACTAATTTACACTTTTACTAACCCTATTCAAACAAATAGGTACACATTTTCCAGGTACAGTATATCAGTGTAACCAAAGTGCTGTATTCCCTTGTTATTTGTAGCATGTGGCAAGACTTGACTTTTAACCTACTTTACTGGTACCTGTAACTGATTGGTTATTGCATGGTGAAGAGCATAAAAGAAAAAGAATTTACTTTATGACAGATCTGGTAAAATCTTTTTGTATTACATTACAGTACTGTATATGAGTTGTGAATATTTAAATGTATGTACCGGGTATGTACTTTACTGTACAGGTACCGGTAGTATAATTTTTTGCAAGGTTTCACAGTGCTCCTGTTAACACCCCTTTTCTTTGGGAATGAAAGTAGAGTGATAAATATATTGGAAGACAGTAATACAGTACTATTTTTTTTCTTCACATGATGTCTACAGGCTGGAGATGGGGTATGTGTGTGATGGCGGGAAGGTGATACCAGTGTCATCCGTGGACCTTCCACTCTGGCAACATGGCGAGAATGGTCACCCACCCACTGACTATGCCTTTTTCTTCGTTGCAGGTCGAATTCAGTTCTTTTTAACTATTTGTCAAAAATGTTCTTTTATAATGGTCATGTTGGTATAAGTATAGAGTGAATAAAGTTATTAATAAGTCATCCTTGTACACAAGAAGACAATGATTATAATGTATTTATGACTGTGATGTTCCTGGTGGTTGAGGTTTATGATAGAAGTGTTCTGTAGTTAGACAAAAACATTACTACCAAATGAAGAAAAAACACACAGATTTTTCCTCTTTTCCTTTCCATTAAGCTATGGTGATTCACTTTCATTTAAAAACTTCACGATATATCAGCGTCCATTCCATTTTCTTCTTGTATGATAATCTTGATATAAAGATGAAACTGTATGGGGTGTTGTAGTTAGCTGAGAGGATACATCATTCCCTTCTTGGCTGTAGGGTCACTGAGAATAGGTACAGTATCTAACTTTATAGATGGGAAAGTGAAGGTGGTCAAGTGCAGTGACAGCCACATTGCCTCCTTGTGTTCTGGAAAAAAAGGCCTATGGGACTCATTTTCACTTTCACTACCTGTATCTACAAATAGAGAATAATTATTGAAATACTGTTTTCAATAATCATTGAAACTCCTACAGGCAGGAAGGAGTACCTAGTGGAGGTCTCAGTGGTGGAGGCTCCTGAGTTTTACATTGGCTGGGAGTGGGAGACCAGAATAGTGGAGCGAATGGTCACTTTCAGGTAAGTGAATGAACAGAAGTACTGTGGTTTAGGATGTGCTCATTGCCAAATTGGATTGGACCTTAAACCTTGACCTTTGTGCTCTACATTTTGTCTAATCGATATATATTTTTTTCTGAAGTTTCATCAAAGTATTTATAGAATAATTCCTAAATCTATACTATAGATAAAAACGTTTTTCCCTATACCTGTACAAAGAAAGATTTGCAGACCTCCACCATAATACAATACAATAATCATATTCTAACTCATAAAAACCAAAGCATTAATGACAAGTTCCTGGGAAAGCTGCCAACAGTAATAGAGTACAATTATGGTGTGAACTGTTAACAGAGTTTTGGTCTCTACTGTGTGGAAAGTTTAAGTTATTAAAGTGTTTGTTATGATTGTATTAATTACTGCATATTCATTTTACTCAGACCAGACTTTAGAAATAAGAAACAGTCAATTCTGGCATCTTACCATATAGATTCATTCAAGTTTTACTGTAGATGTAGTATTTCCACAAATAATAAATTGATGGCCAAAAAATATTAGAGCAGTTCATTTGTTTGACAAGAAATAGATTATTTTTAATTTCATACAAGTGTTTATGATCATAAATAATGCAATATGAAGTACAAATTATTTAGTAGATATATGGTACAGTAATTTGAATACTGTATGCACATAAATGCATAAGGCTTCACAAAAGGAATAACTGTATAGATAAAAATGTTATGTGGTTAAGTTGGTCATCTGCAGGATTATCATTATGTCTTTGTCATTCTGAACTATCCACTATTTTGGTTGATAAAATAATCAAGGATTTTCTCCTCAGGATAAATGGGAGGAAAGGTTGGGGTATAGCGGAGTGGAACTACAGACATCATGGAGGTCGCCCACATATATACAGTACTCATGATCCTGTGTGGACTGCTGACCTCGTGAAAGGTTAAATATAACATTTGAGTGCCATTGTCTGTGATTTACTAACCTTTGAAATTAACCTCTCTGTAGCACAATAGCTTCAATAAAATAAATGCCTCTTGTGAGACTGTGATATGGTAAAGCACAAACTGCATCAGTACAGGCTGTATATTCATGAGTTTATTGTTCTTCATTAACAATTACTTCACCTTTATACTGTACAGTACAATTGTTTTTCAATCTGTCAAGCATGATCTTATAGTGCAGATTGTTAGCATCAAGAACCAACACAGACTCCATTCATTTATTCTTGCTGTTGTAATAAATATTTTCTGCTCTGGTAATCCCTGAGGCATTTGTAACAAAAAAAAATAACATAATGTACGGTAAATGTAGAGTATATTATTAAAACAAATTCTGGTTTTTTTTTAATATATCTGTTCTTTAAGATTCTTAAAATTAATTTTGAGTTACTTGTGATTAAATTACTAATGTGGCCAAAGAGTAATTGTACAGGCATTTCATTACAACAGATTATGTACAGCACTGTACTGTATAGTGATATAAAATCTGTCTGTTTAGTAATAACAGTTTAATAATTGGTTTGAAAATGCCTAATACAGTATTGTTTATTAGTAATGCATAATACCTTGTTGGGGTTATGACTTGATATTTACTTTGTCCTACATTATCAAGCTGGCTGTTGTGATGCTGGTGTGCTTTAAGTCTCACACTCTGGCAGAAAAGTACACCAGAATGTCTTTCCTGTTAGTGTGCATGTACAGTATTGGCAAGCTGCAGATATATTAGTGGGTTTTTTTTATTATTTAAACACAGTAAAGTTATCTGAAAGATACATTGGATTTTTAATATTCATGTTTTCTAATGCATCACAAGGCATGGAAATTTTTCTTTAATTTCACAAAACTGGAACAGTTAGGTATACAGGAGCATACATAGAGTACTACTGAATGCATAATACAATAATACAGTGTGGAAATATAAGATTTGTTGAACACTAGCCAAAACCCAGAGCACACACACATTCTGTTTATTTGTTCTAATATGCCATAATTTACTAGATGTCTTTCTCTCCTATTGTTATGTCACTGTTTCCAGGATTTTCTCCCTTAGTGCAACATTTACCCTATCCTTCCCTCTCCTTTTTGGTTTTACCCAAAATCCAATTTTTTAATTACTTTTCCTCTTTAATTGTTGAGATAGATTACACAACTTCATAGCATGTACTTGTACTGTAATCGCCAGCTACCTAGAGCATGTGAAAAGGGTGAACAGGGCAAGGTAAGAGGACTGTAGGTGAGTAAAATGTAAATAAGTATTGTGCAGTGTGTGAAACCAGATGTTCAAGAAAGGCCAAGCGATGTAGATTAAAATTAAGAAATGTATTTGTGTAGTAAGAGCCACCACTTATTTGTCATAATGGAAATGTTTATTGACCGTCAGTGTTGTTGTGACTTCTTGGTTTGTGATACCACTCAGAAATGCTTCCTAAATGAATTACCAGTAGATGCCATCCATTTGGTTATTATTATCTCTCATCAACCTATGTTCCCTGTATTATGGATGGCAGGAGTACAGTACACCCTACAGTATCTCAAAATATACAAAGATACAGTTACAGTACATAATTTATGCATAAAGAGTGAAGACAGGTGAATTCAACCTCTGTAATGCTTCAGTAACTTATCCAATAACTGTTTACTAATGTTTTAAACTAAAAAGGCAAATCAGTTTTTTACACACACACACACACACAAAACTAAAGTTACATTGATCTTAGAACTCAATTTTGTGATAGATTTTTAACAACTTCTTTAACATAATATTATTTTTCATTTCAGAAGCAGAAGAAGACAGACAGCTAGTCACATCTGAGAATGACCCCCGTTGTGTGGTACATTACCCCAATCTGAAGGGAGCAGGTGACTCTCGAATAATCCTCCTCAGTGATAAAAGTTACAAAAAACTTATTGAGTGTAAGAAAATGAGAACACAGTTAGGAGGAGAAGACCATCATGCTCAACAGTGTGAGTGTATTCCACCACTGAGCTATGACCCTAAAAGAGATGGCTACCACAGACCTTGTTATATGGAATTCATAAAATTTAGAACAACCAAGAAATCTAATTCGGGGAACAACAATGATCTGCTACTTTCTCAACCCTGGGTGAAATCTGACCAAGAGAACAACAATGATCTGCTACTTCCTGAAACCCAGGTGAAATCTGACCAAGAGAACAACAATCATCTGCTACTTCCTGAAGCACGGGTGAAATCTGCAGAAATAAACCAGAATAACAAGACACGACCTGAGGCCAAATCCCCACCTGTCCAAGAACATAATATTGAGAAGTTAAATTCTAAAGCTCGGTCTGTAGTAACCAAGGAAAATACAATTAAGAAATTAGATTCAAAAGCTCAACATTCTACACTGCCCAAGGAAAATACAATTAAGAAATTAGATTCAAAAGCTCAACATTCTCCACTGCCCAAGGAAAATACAATTAAGAAGTTAGATTCAAAAGCTCAACAATCTCTACTGCCCAAGAAAAATACAATTAAGTTAAATTCAAAAGCTCAATGTACAATAGCTAAGAAAAATTACATTGAAAAATTAGATAATGAAAGCCAATTGCAATATGTCCCCCAAAATACCATTAAAAAGTGGAAGCCAAAATTCCAATCTCCATTTGTCCAAGAAAATCATATTAAAAAGTTGAATTCTAAATCACAAAAGCCAATTATTCAAGAAAATTATATTAAAAAGTTAGAATCTGAAGTTGAACCTTTCTCCTGCCGAGTAAGTGACAACGAAGATTTGAACCTACAATCTGAGACCATCCCTGACCAAGGAAATTATCACCAAGAGTCAGATGATAAGCCTCAGTTTAATTTAGTCAGGAAAAATGGGTATGGGAGGTCAAACCCTCACTCCCAATCAGTGTGGAGCCAAGATGATTATGAAGATTCAGTTCATCCATCCCAATCAGCCCAGGGTCTCCAGGGTAATGATTACAAAGAAACAAATCCTCATTCCCAATCAGCAGGTGGCCAGGAAGACTCAGTTACTAAAACCCAATCAGTACTGCATCAAAATGATGATTATGAAGAGTTAGATCACCAAACCCAACCAGTCTTTGGCCAACCTAATGATTATGAAAAGTCAGTCACTCAAGCCCAATCATTATGGGCCAAAGACGATGATTATGAAGAACTCAACACTCAATTCCAATCACCAGGTGGCCAAAATAATGATTATGAAGAGTCAATCCCTCAATCACAATCACCAGGTGGTCAGGATAATGATTATGACGAGTCAATCCCTCAATCACAATCACCAGGCGGCCAGAATAATGATTACGAAGATCCAATCATTCAAACCCAATCACCAGGTGGCCAGGATAATGATTATGAAGAGTCAGCCCCTCAATCCCAATCACCAGGTGGCCAGAATATTGATTATGAAGAGTCAATCCCTCAATCACAATCACCAGGTGGCCAAGATAATGATTATGAAGAGTCAGCCCCTCAATCCCAATCACCAGGTGGCCAGAATAGTGATTATGAAGATCCAATCATTCAAACCCAATCACCAGGTGGCCAAGATAATGATTATGAAGAGTCAGCCCTTCAAACTCAATCACCAGGTGGCCAGGATAATGATTATGAAGAGTCAATCCTCAATTCCAATCACCAGGTGGCCAAGATAATGATTATGAAAGAATCAGTCCTTCAAACCCAATCACCAGGTGGCCAAGATAATGATTATGAAGAGTCAGCCCCTCAATCCCAATCACCAGGTGGCCAAGATAATGATTATGAAGAGTCAATCCTTCAAACCCGATCACCAGGTGGCCAAGATAATGATTATGAAGTCAGCCCTCAATCCCAATCACCAGGTGGCCAGAATATTGATTATGAAGAGTCAGCCCCTCAATCCCAATCACCAGGTGGAATATTGATTGAAGAGTCAGCCCAATCCTCAATCCCACCAGGTGGCCACCAGGTGGCCAGATATGATTATGAAGAGTCAGCCCCTCAATCCCAATCACCAGGTGGCCAGAATATTGATTATGAAGAGTCAGCCCTCAATCCCAATCACCAGGTGGCCAAGATAATGATTATGAAGAGTCAGCCCCTCAATCCCAATCACCAGGTGGCCAGAATAGTGATTATGAAGATCCAATCATTCAAACCCAATCACCAGGTGGCCAAGATAATGATTATGAAGAGTCAGTCCTTCAAACTCAATCACCAGGTGGCCAGGATAATGATTATGAAGATCCAATCATTCAAACCCAATCACCAGGTGGCCAAGATAATGATTATGAAGAGTCAGTCCTTCAAACCCAATCACCAGGTGGCCAAGATAATGATTATGAAGAGTCAATCCCTCAATCCCAATCACCAGGTGGCCAAGATAATGATTATGAAGAGTCAGTCCTTCAAACCCAATCACCAGGTGGCCAAGATAATGATTATGAAGAGTCAGTCCTTCAAACCCAATCACCAGGTGGCCAGGATAATGATTGTGAAGAGTCAATCCCTCAATTCCAATCACCAGGTGGCCAATATAATGATTATGAAGAGTCAGTCCTTCAAACCCAATCACCAGGTGGCCAGGATAATGATTATGAAGAGTCAATCCTTCAATCCCAATCGCCAGATGGCCAAGATAATGATTATGGAGAGTCAATCCTTCAATCCCAATCGCCAGGTGGCCAAGATAATGATTACGAAGATCCAATCCCTCAATCCCAATCACCAGGTGGCCAGGATAATGATTATGGAGAGTCAATCCTTCAATCCCAATCTCCAGGTGGCCGGGATAATGATTATGGAGAGTCAATCCTTCAATCCCAATCGCCAGGTGGCCAGAATAATGATTTCGAAGATCCAATCATTCAAACCCAATCACCAGGTGGCCAAGATAATGATTATGAAGAGTCATTTCCTCAAACCCAATCAGTGTGTGCCAAAGATAATGATTATGACGATTTAGAGACCCAATCAATCTGGGGACCAGATGATATTTATGAAGATCCAATCATTCAAACTCAATCACCAGGTGGCCAGGATATTGATTATGAAGAGTCCGTCCCTCAAATCCAATCAGCAAGGGACCAAGATGATTATGAGGATTTTGATACTCATGCCCAATCAATTTGGAGACAAAATGGTGATGAAAACACACATACCCAATCCGAATCAATACAGGACCAAAATAAAAATTATGAGGATTTAGACAGTCAAATCCAATCAGTCTGGAGCCAAGGTAAAGATTATGAAGAATCCAAGTTTGAAGTTCATTCTATATCCGATAAAAGTGAAAAGGCGACAGAGTCTCAGAACTATTCCATAAATGACAATGAACATAATAATGACGAGTCACTCCCTAATTCTCAATCAAAACTTAACAATGATCATAATGAGTCACTCCCTCACTCCCAATCAAAACTTGACAATGAACATAATAATGACGAGTCACTCCCTCATTCTCAATCAAAACTTAACAATGATCATAATGAGTCACTCCCTCACTCCCAATCAAAACTTGACAATGAACATAATAATGACGAGTCACTCCCTCATTCTCAATCAAAACTTAACAATGATCATAATGAGTCACTCCCTCACTCCCGATCAAAACTTGACAATGAACACAATAATGACGAGTCACTCCCTCATTTTCAATCAAAACTTGAACTTAATACTATAATGACAAATCCCGAAGAAAATGATTATGATGAGGTACATGTAAAGCCTCAGTCTAACTTTGAAAGCAGTGATGAAGACTCGGAGGCTCTTTCACAGTCACCAAGTAATCCAGTGCAGAAAAATGAAAAAGCAAATATCCATTGTCAATCTATACTTGTACATGAAATGGATAATGAATCACACATTCAACCTAAAACCGAAAATCACATAAAAAATGACGATGAAGAATCTGAAAATGAATCCCAATGTGACAGTGGCGAAGAAAGTGATGCAGAAGAGTCTAGCAATATATCTCCATGTGATGCAGAAACCAAAAGCAGAATATCAGGTCGTCAGACCCAATCCACACTTGACTCTGAACAGGACAATGAATCAAACACCCAAGAATATGACAGTGAAGAGGTGGATGCTGAATCACATTATGAAGACAACAGTGAAGAAGAAACAGAATCTCAGTCACTGTCGGTACACAACCTTAAAACCAGCAGTGAAAATCCAGACTTAGATTATTGGGGTATTTTACTTCAAGATAAGAGTGATAATGAGTCCAGTGTACATGACCAATCCATAATCAACCAAGAAAGTGACATTGAAGAATCAGATAATGAGTCTCAATCAGAATATAACCAAGAAAGTGATAAAGAATGTGATCTTGTATCCCAAACTATAAGTAATTCAAAGGTCAGAACCAGAAAGTCAGATCCAGAGAGCCAATCTATATTTCACCAAGAGAATGGTGACGCAGATACACTTCCTCAGACCAACATCAATTGTCACAGAGAAAATAACCTTGGAGTGTCAGACCCCGAATCTCAATCTACATTTGATCACGAAGACGAAAATGAGGAGGAAAGTAAGAGTGAGGAGGGCGATGAAGGTGAGGAGGAAAATGAAAATGAGGGTGAGGAGGAAAGTGACGAGGAAAATGAGGGTGAGGAGGAAATTGATGGCGAGGAAACAGATTCATCAAGCAGTGAGTAAAGCCTAATGTATACTGTGTGTCATTCATTGGCTTACACTATACTGTCCAATTGTAATCTGCTGGAATACAAAGAACACTAAAACTCAAGGTTATTACTTTGTCTTTATGAAATGAAAGAAAATAGAAAATTTACACGAAGTTGATATATTTTAAATGAGGCTCAAAGTGTGCAGCAATTATTTCCAATTTACATTATTTTATTATGGCAGTGTTATTAGGTACCTACTTCAAGAGAGCTTTCAGAACTGTCAACTACACCGAAAGCTCAGTATTTGTTCGACTTGTCATTTTTAAATTCCTGAGAAATAAAGAAAAGATAAACTACTTAGAGTTTCTTTATTATGCCATCAGAAGTTATATACTGTACATTATCTTACTATATACAGTATTAATTAAATTATTAATCAGTGCAGAGGGGCCAGTAGCAGGAGTAAACAGATCTGCATTATTTAACATTATTTAACCATAGCCTGTTACTAGTGAACCCCATATGACTTAAATAATCGCTTGTGGTAAAAATAACTTTACTGTAATACTGTATTTACCAAGAATCCCCCCTATATATGAGCCCCCATCCCCCCTCACCAATCAAAAACCCTGACTACGTCCATGAGGCGGGGGGGGGGGGGGTGAGAATAAAAATTGTGAGGGAGGCAGGGAAAGAGAGAAGATACGTGAAGAACAATTATATATCCTACTTTTAGTGTGTACTGTAAAAAAAATGTAATTAAAGAAGTGAAAAGAATAAGTCGAAAAAATGTTGCTAAAAAGTAACTAAATATTTATATTAATTTTATGTTATTGTATGAGATGATGCTTCCTAAATATGTAATTATATATTCCTAAATAGTGGCCGAGGTAGCTAATTAAAATAATAGAGGAATATGAAAGTTTAAAATTGGCGGGGTAGTGAGGTATAACCCGTAAGGGACAGGTGGCGTTGTTGTCGCTTCAATCTCGGGCCGCAGTAAACACCAGACGGCAAGATGGTTCTGGAGAGCACGATTATATGGTAAGTTTGACCTCATTTACACAGTATTACAATACCCTCACACAGGGCATTTGTTCGAGTTGTCCATGACGTTCTGTTGTGCGTGGAGAGGTAATTAGAGTGGCGTGAATGACGTACTACACCAGGAAATAAAGCCATGATTAGGAACCATTGGTCGTGACGGGGCAGAATTGAACTGTCTCTCGGTAGACGTCAAATATTTTGTGTAATATTTTGGCACTTTTTATTCCTTATTTTGTATATTTTTGGTATTCTATGTGTATTAATTATTCAATTTATGTATTAGCGTAATTATTGTGCTGTATGAGTTAATAAATGGTGTACTTCGTACTGCATCAGTACTAAGCTATTTCCATGCATCCTGAACAAGGGGCACATTATACAGGATAGTCCTATGGGCGTTTTCGGAACTATCCAGATTGTATAGTAGTTTTATTTTGTATTTGAGAAATGCAGTTACGCATCTCTTTTTCATATTTTTCGTATATAGAGTAATTTTCATGATGTATACACTAATTTATCATTTAGAATTTTACATTACCTTATTGAAGAAAATTTTTTATATTTGGAAATATGCTGATATTCCTACAAATATTAGCAATATGATCTGATTTGTACACCTAGACTAAACTTTTTTCTTAACATCTGGTACTTAGTATATTAGGTTTGCATGCTAACCACACATTTTCAACTAGTCATTCAATTTTTCCTTTGTCCTAAACACTAATCTGCTTCCATCTGCAGCTTCCTGCTGATGCCATTTTATTTGATTACCTACAAATGCTTTCATATTGGTGCTACTATAACATGCAATCTACAAAGATATTGTTAGTATAACCTAACCTTACCTAAACTAAACATTTTGTAGACATCAAGCTATAGTAGCACCTTTATATTTTTGTATTTCCATAGTGTTTCTTCCTATGAATAATGGACATGTATCTGCCACAGCCATCCAATGCTATTTTTCCCTTTGAAGTGTTGTTGTCTGCATGACAGCACTTGCAGCCAGTGAATACAACCAGTTACTTCTACATTATATCATTAACCTTACAAGGACATTCTGGATTACCTGAAGAATCTCCACCCCAGCTTATAACATACAATTTAACCACCCAAACACTACTATATTTGGAGGGGATGAGATTAGGTTAATCTTTAGGCAAATTAAGCTTGGGTGGAGGTTCTTCAGGAAAAAAAAGTATTTTGTAATACACCTGTAGTATAAAATTTCTTGCTCTGTTACGGTCACTTATGATATCAGTACAGTACAAGTAATAAGTGTATTTTTCAAGTCTTTTGATGTTTTGTGATGACTTATTTTTATGATTTTTTTTTTCAGAATTAATTCCCACATGTTATTTTTGGTAAAGAATGTAGCTTTTAACATGTTCTCTCTCATTACAGTGTTGACAATAGTGAATATATGCGGAATGGGGATTATGTTCCCACGCGTCTTCAGGCCCAACAAGATGCGGTCAATACTATATGTCGTTTTAAACTACGTTCTAATCCAGAGAATAATGTTGGTCTCCTAACTTTAGCAAAGTAAGTTTGAAGATGCTTTATGGCAGTTTGGCCAGAATTGAGAGCAAACATACATTCCATTCACTCACTGTCACCCCTTCACTCCAAGTGCTGCAACAGCCTCACAATCCAATCCCACTCCTTTCTCCCTCTACCATTTACATGCATTGCTGCTGCTTTAATACCCATCCACTTCACTTTTAAATTTTTACTTCTTTTTAATAAATCTTTCACTTCCCATTCACTTCTGTCAGATGTCTTTCATTTCTGCATTTCCACATTTGTTGAGACTTTTATACCTGTGCTTGTGTTTCCAAATAGGATTCAAATGGTGGATAACACTCAGAAAAATACAATCACGGGATAAAACTAAAAAGAATGCATGTTTTGGATAAACTTTTAGGAAATACCGGTACTGTATGCTCATGAGAAGGAATTAAAATTTGAAATTAGATGCTTTTCCATCAGCAGAATGCACTTGTCCTTGTTTTTAAACTAAGAGTAGTGACAAATTCATTGTTGGACCTTGTAGCCATTTTGATCTTACTTATGTATGTTATTTTTATTTTTCTCTCTCTTGAAGTTTCCCTTGGTGCTGTCCTGTTTCAGTGTTAGGAAACTTGTTCAAAAGTAGATACATTACTAGATATAACAGAGATGAAAACTTAATCTTTTAGTCTAGCTGATGACCAGTGCTGTACTTAATGAAAGCTGTATTGTATCTCTAACCTAAACATGAAACTACACATTAATTTAGTCATTATATATTTTGCAGTACTGAGGTTCTCGCCACACTGACTACTGATGTTGGAAAGATTCTAACTCCGCTTCATAAAGTGCTACCAAATGGCACCATTAACCTGCTCACTGGTATCCGCATTGCTCATGTATGTAATTTTTATTGTATTTTCTTATGCTTTATGCTAAGGTGGTATGGACATATGAGAATGGGCAACAGCAGATTGGTAGAAAGAACATATGCTTCAGAGGTGGATGATAAGAGAGGGAAGGAAAGACCCCTAATTGGTGAGAAGATAAAGTTTGGAACTAGCTGACAATTTGTAAATTTTCTGTGACTTTTTGTTAAACTCTTGTGATTAACAGTATTGTGACATCCATAAGAGGTTGAGTTCTGTGGAGTCAGTTTAGAATTATGTTATATATGAGTAAGCTTTGGGAACTTAGTGATAGCTTTGGCTGTTATTTATGCCTTGTATACTGTAAACTACTCATCCCATCTCCAAGGGATTGAGTGTGTTTGTGAATTGGTGACCTTGAGAGTCCAGTGTTAAGGGATTAGTGATGGTCCATACATACAGTAAGTAATAGTTCTAGAGCTCGGTAAGATTATATTGCAGCCATTAGGTGTATAAACACTGCTGTTTAGATGTAAGAGTATAAAAGATGGACACAGCTGGGGGATCTGTTGTTAAAGACCATACAGAACACATCAAGTGAGGCGGCTAGAATGAATCAGGACATTTATTTTAACTAACAACAAACATTGTATACAGTATACAACAATTTGAAGATATGTTGCTGTCCAGTGTTCTCTCTTGGTGAAACGAGGATATTTAAAAAAGGTTTAACATGTTCATTTTTCTTTGTCCCCATTTTTTTCTTTGACTTAAACATTGGAGGATATAACAGTGATGCCATCTGTCCATCCAACAATTTTGAATTCTGCCTGATGATTTTCTATAGACATAATGGAATAAGTAGGATTTGGGTGTGAAAGTGTATTATGGTTCAGTACTGTATTTAGTGTAATGTTAGCAACAGTAATTTTGGTCTCATTACTGGGGTCAGCCATTCCTGATGGCCCTAGTGTATGTAGTGGATGGTTTGTTTTGTAAGTAATAGGTGGTTTCTCCCTCCTCAGTTGGCTCTGAAACACAGACAGAGTAAGAACCACAAGATGCGCATCGTGGCCTTTGTAGGCAGCCCAGTCGAAGTTGAGGAGAAGGAGATTGTCAAGGTGGCTAAGCGTCTCAAGAAGGAAAAGGTCAACATTGATATCATCAACTTTGGGGAGACAGTAAGTTCCTAAGCATTTTTTATTAAGATTTTCATAGAATTGATTTTATAGATAAACATTGTGGGGTTTTTGAATGAAGGTTAGTTATAACTTATAAGAATTTGTTGAAATGGGTACTTGGGAACTGTCTCACTGAATGTAAATCATTAAACAAAAAGGACAAACTACAGCTACTTCAAGTTATATAATAAATGCTTGCATAAATATATGTAAAACTTAGGTCAAGTTGATAATATTCCTCAAATTAGATTAATTGTAGTTTTACTCCAGAAGCAATTTCTCTGTACTAACTGATGAATTTATTTTTTTATTTGTTTATTTTTGGTACAGGACAGTAATCAGACACTGTTGGAGGCTATGGTCAGCACAATTAATGGCCGTGAGGGTGGCAGTTCTCATCTGGTGACTGTACCCCCATCACCACACCTTGCTGATGCCCTCCTGTCATCACCCATTGTGCAGGCGAGTACTTGCTGGAAGTCATGATTGCATTGTTTGCCACACCTCCCTGCTGTGAAAAGTTCTAATGTGATGGGGATGGCCATGATAGCATAACCTCTAGACCTCCCAATCATTGCATACATTTTTTATTTAAAAAAAAAATTTACCCTCTATTTCTCTTACCATCTCCCCATTCTCTTGTTTATATGTAGCTTTACTGTGGCTGCTCTACCTCTCAAGTTTAGTGTTCTTTCAGGAAGAGCATTTTTCCCTCGGGTGTTTTTGTTGGCATAAACAAAGGGTAACCTGTTGTGTTTAAGGTTGTGGTGACCTGTGGTGCATGCTTACCTCGCAAGTGAGCAGACCCGGGTTTGATCCCGGTCAGGGTGAAACTATGGGCAAGTTTCTTCATGCCATTTGCCTCTGTCCACCCAGCAGTAATTGGGAACCTGGATGTTAATGGTTAGCCAGTGCAGTTGACGATTTGTCCGGTCTTTCTTGACACTGGGTCATGCAACTCCTTATCTTAGGGTGTGGTTGTTGTGTTGGCGACAACTTGTACACCTTAAACAAATTCACTCCTAGGTGGCCCTTGGGCCGGCCATCCTCATTAACACGAGGGGCAACCATTATTATATAAGCAATAAAACAGTTCCCTCACCAGGCAACGTGTGCATGATAATCACATAACACTTGGTCACCTTTATGAAAACTTGGTCTCTGGCAAATTTTTCTACGTTAATGTAACATGCATAATAAGCTAAGTAACACATTATTACTTGAAAAAAATTAGGGGACAATATCCTAGCTATTACACTTTTACATGTATGATAATCTACTAATACTAACACAGTTATTACCTTAAGAAATAGGTGACTGTGACTGAAAATTAGTTGTAACTTTCATATTAGGTTTTGAACTAGTGCAAAACATGTTATTTATTTGTTGATGTGATGCTCTAATGTGAATTATCTGATGTCAAACTACTTACTGTGATTGACCTAAAGGAAATGTAGGTCATGTTAAATTTTATTCAAAAATGGTTTTATGATAATGCAACTTGAGACTCCAAATGTGAGTGACCAGTTAATATCACTTGATCACCTCCCTGAAGGAAATATGCAGGGAAATCAATGTTCTGTCAGGTGTGATCTCTTAATCCTTAATAGTTGAGTTTTTAGACTGGTGACACCAATGTTTATATAGAGGTGTACAGTCTGTACACCCACTGCAAAAAGTATCTTGACGGGGGGATCAGATGAATTTTAAAATGAATAATGCGACTCCTTTTGTCTCAGATTGGTTATCGAAATTTTTCGTCCATTGTTCCATAATGTTTAACACAAAATTGTAAAGATTTTTGGAGTGAGTGCACTATATTTTTGTTCTTTTTCATCTTATGCAGTATTTAATTAAGGTTAACATTGAAATGCAAATGACAAAGTTTTACATTTCACCAGGGTGAGGATGGAGGACCTGCTGCCAGCTTTGCTACAGGTGGAGGGTTTGAGTTTGGGGTTGATCCTAATGAGGATCCTGAATTAGCTCTGGTGAGTTTACTTTCTGATTCATATTATTATCATCTTATATTACATTACTGTACTGTCATTATTATAATATTGTTGATAGCTAATTTGATCAAGAGGAAAGGAATAAAATAAGGATTAGAGGAGTTAAAGTGTAATTAATATACTGTACTAAGAATTTTTAGAGATTAATGTGTTATAGGCAAAATTGTTGAATTTATTGTACATTGTTATTTCAGATTAAGTTATTGGCATCGTTTTGCTATTACTACTAATAAATTTCTTCCCAAAGGCCCTGCGTGTGTCCATGGAAGAACAGCGGCAGCGACAGCAGGAGGAAGAGCGACGTGTTGCCAAGGAATCTACCACGACTGCCACCCCCATGGAAACAACACCCAAGCCACCAACCACAACCCCTACACCCCAGACCCCAGCACAGCCAGAAGGTTAGGTCACAGTCATACCAAGTTCTTCTACATCACATTCAGATTGTGATATTATATACCTTTGTTACCTCTTAATACCTTTGTTTCATTAGTATTAGTTTGTTGTCTAACTACTTATTTATTATGCAAAAAATACATTGATAAAAATTGTTGATTTATATTATATGTATATGTTTTGTTGGGATATCTTGAAACATCAACGTAAAAACAAAGGGGGTCATTGTTGTGGATTACAATTTAAATGATTTTTATCACATTCCACTGTCTGTCCATACAGAAAACATTTGCACCAACTGAAGATGGCATATTAATCTGTGTTGTAAATTTTCAGCAGGCTCATGACCCAATACAGATTTAACATACCGGTACAAAAAAGTACAAAAAAAAACTATATTTTTCATCTCATAATTTTTGGTAGATGTATGTAATTTTCTTCATTCTTTTACTCATTTACATGCTCACACAATCCTACTTACAGAAGGTGCAAAAAAGTAAAATAGATAATTATCATAAGGTATAAAGTTTTATGGATCTATGGGTGAAGGTGTGTGGAGGTAGCAGGGTCCGTGGTGCAGCAAAACCCTTATAGTGATCCCTGCAAATCTAATATCTTTCTCAACATGATTATTTTCTCTGAACATTAGGTAATTAACTCTACTGTCTGGAAGTGGCTTGAATTTTCATTTGTATTTTAAAGCTGCTGGTCAATCTGAAGAGGAGATGCTGCAGCAGGCACTGGCCATGTCTCTGGAGGCTGGGGGCACGCCACAGACTGGTGGTGCTACTACTGGCAGCTCTACTGGAGCTACCACTGTCACAACTAGCACTACAGCTAGTGCTGGCAAGGGCAGTACCACAGGGGGTGGGTCATCTACAGCCATCCCAGATTTTTCTGCAATGACCGAGGAAGAACAGATTGCTTATGCAATGCAGATTTCCATGCAGGACTGCAGTAAGTTAAATTGAAAATAGGGTGTATTTGTGTTGCAGATGTTGAAAATTATAATCATGGTTAAACATTAGTACAGTACTATTATTTGTACCTGTGGAGAATTCATGTAATCATTATTGCTGATTAATTGCCATTTTCTCACATTTGTGTGCAATTTCAGACAACAAATAACAGTATGCATTTTTTAAATCAGATTTGTGCTTAGAAAACAGTGTCTTAAACATACACATATCTACATTTAGTCAGCAGCTCACACCATTTATCACCAAAAAGTTTTGCATAAAAGGAAATGAGATACCTTTGATATGCATTCATATTGCAGACTACAGTTGCCCATTATGAAGTAGAATTATTTAACCCTTAAGCCCCGGGTTAGGGTGCTGCTGGCAGTAACCCCCCTGTGGGTTAACTCAAGAAAAAATTCAACTTAAAAAAAATGTCGGGAAAATAGGCAGACGTTTTGGAACGTCACCCAGGGCGCACTAGTCAGACGTTCTGGAACTTTACCCGGGGCCTAAGGGTTAATATCCATAAAATTATTCTCAATTTTTTTTTTTATTATGAAAATTTGATGCATTTAAGTAGGATGTGCAGTTACATTAATCAATTTGCTATCCAAGTCCAGATGAAATATATTAGTGTTGTACCTGTATAGCATAATTACAATTTTTAATTGACTGTCACTTATGATGCACAATCAGGAACAAAAGTCCTGTCATCTCTTCTGCTGCTTCATGAACCCTGAGTCTTAATCTTGGGGTTTGTGAAGCAGCAGAACAGGTGATAAGACTTGTTTGCAACATTACATGATATACATTTTTGGAGGATTAAAGCTTAGTCACTGCTTCAAACCGTACACCACTTGACTTGATGTTGCAATTCAATAATATTGCAGAGCCAAAAGAGGAACCTATGGATGTGGATCCCCCAGCCTCAGCGACCAAGCCTTCAGAAAGTTCAAAGGTTTGTTATTAAACTCTATACTACAGGTTGGGTATTCTTTTCTGAAATGCTTGGGGTCTTAAGGGTCTTGGATTTGGGATATATTCGGATTTTGGAATACCTGTATCCTGTATGCAGAACCTGTATAATGTAGTAGATCACCCAGCAGGGATGGGGCCCAAGTCTATGGACAAAATTAATTTACATTTCATTTACAGCATATGGATACATATATTCTGCAGGTAGTTTTATGAAATATAATTTTAATCATTTTGGGTATGAAATATGTGCTAGGATGTAATTAAAGACCCAGAAAGGTAAGCGCTCACTACCGTCTGTTTGGCATTGCCGTGGCGCCTGACTCTGAGGCACTAAGCAGCCCGTGTCTTACATTTATTCATTACACATACATACTTACCCTAGTAAAAATTATGATATATGCCATATTCAGTGTATTATCTACCATAAATATAATGAAATAGACTTTCTGATTTCAGAGCATTTTGGACTTGGGAATTTTGATAAGGGATACCCAACCTGTACTACCCTTACCTGCTAGAGGAGCATATTGATTTGTGCTTGTCTGATCCAATCATATCAACTGTACTGTATTTCTGTTTCATCCAAGTTTGTTTACAGGAATACTGTACTGTATAAAGAAAGTATTTAGCAATTTAAGCAATAAATTTTGTAGGTTTCTTTCAACAGATCTTAGTGTGCAGTACAGTATCTACTGTACACAAGAATTCAAAATATTTGTAATATACAGTCTCCTCGACTTTCGACATACTTGACTTCGGACAACCCGGACATACGACCGTCGTAGTCGAAGAAAATATTTTTCAAATTACGTATTTTCTTGTACCGAAACGTTTTGGTCCTGAACGACAGCGTGGGCTGGGTCGCCTCGTAGTGTACAGCATCCACGCTCAGTTGGCCGTTGTTGTTGTCGTTAGTGATCGCGCTGTGTACTGACAAAATTTTCGTTTCCAATTCCCTTTAAAATGATTGGCAAACATAAAAGTGAGAGTTCTCATGGTGCTGAGAAGAAAAAGAGACAGTCAATTTCTTTTGAGATGTCAATTACTTTTGAGATGAAAATGAAAATAATGCAATATGAAAATGGAAATCGGTATCAACCATTTCACGCAACCTTGGCTTCTCTCACTTGACGATATCAACAATTTTGAAGGACAAGAAACAAATTCGTGAGGTAGTGAAAGGATCAGCACCTATAAAGGGAACAATAATAACGAAAAAAAAGACGGTCCTATTCATGAGATGGAAAAATTACTTTTCATGTGGATGGAAGATCAGCTGCAAAAGCGTGTACCCTTAAGTCTTCTAACCATACAGACTAAGGCAAGAAGCCTTTTCGAAGGCCTGAAAGAGCAGGCAGGAGATGAGTGCGACCAAAACTTTACAGGAAGTCGGGTGGTTCCAAAGGTTTAAGAACCGTTACAGTTTGCATAGTGTAAAGGTGAGTGGAGAGGCAGCAAGTGCTGATGTGGGAGCTGCCGAAGCTTTTAAGGACGAGCTATATCGTGTCATCGTGGAGGGAAATTATGTGCCTGAGCAAGTATTTAATGTGGATGAAACTGGCTTATTCTGGAAGCGCATGCCAGAACGGAAATACATCCACAAAGAGGTGAAAACCATGCCGGGATTCAAGGACCGAGTCACTTCTGTTTGGGGGGGGAATGTAGCTGGTTTCAAGGTAAAACCCTTTATGATATACCATTCAGAGAACCCAACGGCTTTTAAAAATGTCAGCAAGCACACTGCCAGTGTTTTATCGCAGTAATAAGAAAGCATGGATGATCCTAGCACTGTTTGAGGATTGGTTCCGGAGTTGTTTTATTCCACGAGCCAAGGAGTATTGTATGCAACAAGGCTGTTGCCTTCAAAATTTTATTAATTTTAGATAATGCTCCGGGACACCCACCACACCTGGACGACCTGCACCCTGATGTTAAGGTAGTCTACCTTCCACCTAACACTACCTCTATCATCCAACCCATGGATCAAGGTGCTATTGCTGCTTTTAAAGCATATTATTTACATACGTCCTTCACTCAGGCTGTTGCTGCTACTGAACGTGAGAAAACGCTCAGAATTTTGGAAGGACTACAACATTTTGCAATGTACAAAGAACATAGCTGCAGCATGGGATGAGGTTACAGGTCAATGCATGAATGGAATATGGAAGAAGGTCCTGAAAAGATTTGTGAACAGTTTCGAAGGATTTAATGAAGATGAAGCAATTTCTGAGATTACTAACAAGATAGTGCAGTTGGGTAAACAGCTGGAGTTAGAAATCGATAATGAAGATGCTGAGCAGGTGGTAGAAAGTGCAGCAAAAGAGCTAAGTAACGAGGATCTTATTGAACTGGAGGCACAGAAAATTGCAGAGGAAGAAGAGAGAGAAAATGTAAAAGAACCTGCACCCCCCATAAAGTTTTCAGTGAAACAAATGGCAGAGGCATTTGCTACTAATAATAAGGGGATGCAAATGTTTGAAGAAATGGATCAAAATGTTGAGCGTTTTGCAAAAGTTGACAGACTGAACCAAGATGCACTTGCTTGCTGCAGGGAGATTTACAACGAAAAGAAAAAGCAAACTGTGCAGTCTAAATTGGACATATATTTTAAGAAGTCCACCCACTGCTGTCTTCTCACGCTCCACTGCTGCTGCCTCTTCACTCCCTAAAGATGATCCAATACCTTCAACAAGCAAGTAAGTAAGCCTGTCTGAAGAAAGCGATATTGATGACCCTCCCAGCCCTCTCTCCTCCTCTGCTTCATCCAATTAATGTAGTCAACATGGTTAATTAAAACATTATTGAGGCCTTTAGTGCATTCAGCTGACTACATTAAAAATAAGTTCACAGTAACACTTTATTCATTTTTCATTATTGATTACTTTTACTGTACAGTACTGTATTTCATTTTAGAATTTCTATGTACATATTATTTTTCGCCTTTTCTACTTAAGACCAAATCGACTTACGACCTGGTCGTCGGGACGGAACCCTTTCATAAGTCGAGGAGAGACTGTAATTCAGAATACCTATAATATTTCTTTATGTATTTTATATGGGGCAGTTGTTATTACATGAACATAACTGAAATGTGCAGTTAGGTAATGCTAAAGTGTCCTTAACTCAATGAGTGGTTCACTGGCCTCTCACCATGGTGGTGGCCTGCCATTTACTGCAAAATATGTTTTATACTTTTCTATTTTTTTTCAATTACAGTGGGAGTTTACTGTATCATGTACAATATAAGGCTCATTACCCCCTTGTGCCAAGATTGAGTGGCAGGAGATATGGAAATATTAATTATTCATCTGCCTTTTTATGTCTGTAATATTTTTGGTTCATGAATACTGTATTATAATTTGGGCAAATAGAATGCACTGAAATTCTGTGTGGAGATGTAACCCAACATGTATTTAGATGAGTACAATGGCTGATAGCTTTCTCTAATAGTCAAGGTCATTATGGCCTGTTTTGTCTATGATGGTCATCTTATATATTTGTGTGTGGGGGATGAAAAATAGATTGATTAATGAGGTATCAATGAAATAATTATAGTCATATTAAAATGGCATCTTTCTTTTGTAGGTGAAAAAGGAGGAAGAGGAGCAAGATTTCTCGCAGGTGATGGCAGATCCTGCCTTCTTGCAGAGTGTGTTGCAGAATTTGCCTGGTGTTGACCCCCAGAGTCAGGTTGTGAAAGAGGCTGTTGGTTCACTTACCCAACAAGATAAGGATAAAGATAAGGATAAAGATAAGAAAAAGGAGGAGAAGAAGTAGGTATATTTGTCAGATATAAGCTCAAGCTGTTATTTGTTCTCTTATGTGGCTTGGATGAAAATCTGGAGCAACTTGTTCAGATGTAATATTGTAGTGTATCAATTGGGGTGTTTTTGCCAACAAGAACTGGATATGGTCAGCCACTGTCATTAACTTAAAGGTTACATGGAAGCTTTCAAGGGATGTACATGTACAGGGTTTTTTATGGATATTTAGGCAAAGGACTCAGACATAATTTGAAGAGACTGCAGCTAACATGTTGTAAATTTATAAGTAAAAAAAAAGTGGATAAACTCTGCAACTCTCTTTAGTGTCAAAATGAATACCTATGTGTTTAAAAGACTAACTCAGGTCAACATAATTTATTGTATTTTCAGATAAATTAATTGTTTTCCCAGAAAGTTTTAACTGTTCTCAGTCACTGTAACTCAGGGCAGGTCAATAAATTTTCTGTGGTCAATTAAAGGAAGAGTTTGTTAGAGACACAATGTTAACTGGTCCAAACACTAGTTGAATCAGTGGAATTTGCCAGCAACTGGTTCTTACTGAAAACCCTGCATGTAGAATTAGTTTTTCCCATGTGAATCATAGAAATACAGAGAAGCTGCAAATTTATACTTTAAGACCATTGCTGAAGTGAAAATAAATTTAATTCCCTATTAACTTATAATTATTCTAGCCTGGAGAAAGCTGAAAATTAAAACTTTGTTATAAGAAAATTTCACCTACAGGTACTGTACTTATAACCCAATGTGTAACTTGAGCTACTTCAGTAAATGTCTGCAAGTTCCTGTATTGTATGGAGTATTTTTGTTTTTGTTTTTTGTCAGCCATTTTTCTTTTATTCATCTATGAACTGCCGATATTAGAAAATAAATCTTGTACAAAGTGTGTCTTTCCACTGGACCTTATTTTAAGATACATGTATTCCTTGAAAGTGTATCCAGAGGGTGTTTATACATCATCATCATCATCATTGTTTTACAGCCATTTTTTTGCTTATGTGGGTTAGCCGCAGTTACCTAATAGTAGCCGTTCATGCTGCATGGTCTCTTGCAGTCTCTCTTGCCAGGTTCCTAACTACTCTGTATTTATACAGAAAATTAACCATCATGCCAATTACAAGAAAGGCTATCAATTATCCAGCTTGCTTCAGCAACAACTGATACAAGAGGTCCCCGACTTACGAACGCCCGCAGATACAAATGGGGTTAAACTTGAAATTTACAGTACAGGGTATTTTATTTACCTGATGACTTATTTTTTACTTTCATATACTGCATTTTGTCATTCTATTGTTTCTTTTGTCTTAAGTGATTTTAGGTGCATATAAGGATTAAGGGTATGATATAGTGGGATTTTAAACATTGTTTTGTAGTAGGCAGCTATCAAACAGGGAGGTACTACCACCTGGGAAGATATTGGAAGAATATGTGTTGACTAATAGTAAACCCTGCTGCCATATGGCATCAAAAAAATTGTGACCAAGTCCCAGGTTGCTGATCTGACTACCTCATTTACACACAATTGTAGGGTCTCAATTGTTTCTCTTAGTATTGACAACACAACATACAGTACATACTGTATATAGTTTCTCACTCTTGATTTATTTTTCAATATTTGTATTTATTTATGGTTATTTTTATTTTTATTGATTGTTTTATTAATTATTGCTATTATGATTATTATTATAATATTAATGTACACCACGAAGATGCCGGAAAACCAGCTTTTTGAAGCGAAACAGATTGTAAGAGTATGGAAACACAGAAGGCAGAGCATTCCACAGTTTGGCTGTGTGAGGAAAGAAGGATGTACAGCACTATAACGGGTTAAAATATATTTTAGTGTGACCAACATCCACACAGAAATGGTGGACACCGCAGGTAAGACAAGTGTTACAAGCCCACGGTCTTGCCAGCGGTACACAGGATGCCAAATCTACCGAACATTGCCTGTTAAAGTACCTGTAAAAGAGAGAGTGAAGCAACATTGCAGCAAAGAGAAAGGGAAGAGATTATCAACTAAAGGAGTAGAGTTGTAAAGACGAAATGTCTTCGATTCCACTGTATCTAACAGTTGGACAGAAGAGGAGCCACCCCAGATATAAGAGCAGTACTCCCAAGTTAGGACGAATGAATCCCTTATATACTTGAAGCAACTGCTCAGGAGTGAAGTAGCTACGGCATCTGTACAGCTTTCCCAGCTTTCGGGAGGCAGCTTGAGCAATGTTGTGGTTGTGTGGCTTCCATGACATAGAGGAAATGGTGAGGCCTAGCAAATCTATTTTAGAATTTGGCAGAATGATTGCATCCTGAAATATCAGCCTTGTTTATCTGCTTGGGATCTGAACTACAGAGCATTGCACCGCTATGCTAGTTCATTATTTATATAAAGATTGGGCATGCCATTTCTTTTTCCCAGATATTGGCATACCAAGTGTGATTATATTGTGGGGTACTGGATGTTTGGGTTCACTCAGGATGGGATGGAGAAAGGAAACTCACGATGTGCTCTCTGTATACATGTTGTATTGGATGTACAATGCAGCTTGGTGCTGGGAAGTGGCAGCGTGGTTACAAGCGTGATGTAGAGAGGGCTGGTTGGTGAGGGTGCTCAGAGGAGGACAGCTTGTGGGTCGCCATGCTCGCCGGCGGGAGCGAGGGCCACCAGGCAGCAGCGGAGGAGGTGGTGTTGCTTGCTGCAGCTGTAGCTAGAAGGAGAGAGGTCACCACGAGGTCAGGTCTTTTATAACGGAGGTAGGCGTGGGTAGATAGTTGACCCCCGCTCCGTGGGCGGCGCTGGTTGACCTAGACCACGAGGCATACACGGGGGGAATTCGCGGGGTCGGCTACTCAGCGACAAACAGCGTTTGTAGGGGAGAAATCCACTCCAATATCTACACCCCCCACCAGCACTAAGTAATAACTAAGCTATTAATAATTGCTGCATTAACTATCGAAATAAGTGATATAATTAAGAACTATAGTTTTATCACATTCGTTTCTTGATTACAATTTGAAATAACGAATAAAAAAGATAATAAGGAATAGAGACGAACAAATTTATAATACTGTAGTTAGCGCTATGTTTTATTCCATTTTCTTTAAATATATAAATACAGTAATGTTAAAAATATACCTCAAATACAACTTTCAACTCAATCATTTTTTAAATTTCTTTTGAACGTAGACGATATAAATCCAACTGAATTTTATTAGAAATACCTTATAATAGTTGGGATATCGTATGATTAGCTAACCAGAATTGTGTTGCTAAGAAAATAAATACTGTATTGCATTTTCATATACCAGTAAACGCGAATAATTCAAATCTGACCAAGTGGTATTATTTTAGAATTATTAAGTTAGAATAAATGCTGTAGGTTGGACGAGGTTCATGCTGTCTGGTGTCATAGCGAATAAAATAAATAGGTCAGGAGTTGTAACGAGAACAATTACCAACACTGTACTACGTAACTACAGCAGCGCCATCTGTGGACATCATGTTATACTATGTGGCAGTGACCCAACCTTCCCGTCTTGCTATGATCCTCAGGTCGGCAGATTCAAAACAAACTTGTAAACAATTACCTGTGAAGTTTCTAGTGTTGAGTGAGAGTAAATTACCCGACTTACCCCCGTTTCCTCCAGTCTCTGTCCGTGTGTGACGTGTAAACCGCCTGAGTGTGAGGAACAGGAGTGAACTAGTGTGATATTCGTGTGTAAACTAGTAACTTGGGGTAATTATGGGCGTGTGGACGATAAGCTCTACTTCCAGGAGGGACGCCGAGATGTGTCACTGACTGGGGAGGTGAGTACAGTACTACCTGTTGTCTTGGTTATGAAAACGGTCTTGAGAAAGGTGTGTCTAAGGGTAATGGATTGTTTTCATTCAGAAATTTCTATAACATGTTTACCTTTATGCAAGGAAATGAAATCGCGTGCCATATTAAGGAAGATGTATTGTATTATTACATGTTGTAGAAGGTATAAGGGTTTGTTCCAGCTAAAAACAAACAATTCAATGATTTTTTCCATGGTCAAATTATCGTTTCAGTCATCCACCTATTTAGAAGTTGTTCAAAACCACCAGAAAAACATAATTTCAACCACACCTAACGTAACAACCTGACCTAACCTAACTTAAACTAACCTAACCTAAACTTAAAATCCTAAAATTTGCTGGATGACCGAAATGATAAGAATGCCTTTTTCATCCTTTGAATTGCCAGAGGCATAGAGGCACATGACTTCCCATTTCTGAAAGAAAAATCAATGTAATTTTTCCTTTCCTCAGCTGAATTTGCATTCTATACATTAAAAAACGGTTAACGTGTCGATTAATGCTGCCAACGATTCTAGCAAGAACCTAATGGTTTTTCACTAATTTTTGTTGTTAATTGCAAGTGACAGTGCTCTCTTTTGGGGAAGTGTTTCTTTTTTATGATTTATACTACTGTATAATACCGCATTTAGTTGTCGGCGAGCCATGGGAGGGGGAGTGCGTACTGCATGGGTCGTCTGAATCGCATTACCATGCTATATAATACATGACCCAACTCTGGAAAAATAGCTTTTCCCCAATAGGGGAATATGTTATGTTAGCTTAAATAAGGAGAGGTTAAATACTGACAACATTATATAACCACTCGGGGCCCTACTAGGGGGGTTAGGTCAGGCTAATGATTGACCATGATTGAAAAACATTAGTTTTTTTTCCAGAAAAAAAAAAACTATCTCCACTAAAAAACAGCAAAATTCATGCAGGATTTTTTATTTTTGTATTTATGTTTTTGGGCGATATTGCTTGCAGCACTTAAGTAAACGTTTACCTGAAAATTTTTGTGAAAATCCACTTTTAATATTTTATTTGCCTCATGCCAGACGATTTATTTGGCACAGAGGGGACCTGTACGCAAGTGGTTAAAAAGAAAAAAAAATAGTACTGTACTAAGTAATTATTAAAGAAGTGGCTACCTAGCCGTGAATTCCAGGCTGGGTGGACTAACCTAATCTAACCTAACCAAAACCTGCAGTCTGCCTGGCTGGGAATTCCTGGCTAAGTAGCCACATCCAGTTAAGGTGGTGACCCTACAACACAATTAACATTATCACAATTATTTCTAAAATAGCATAAAACAAAACGGTATCACAAATCAGCTAGAAAATTGAGAAATTAATATTTCATTAAAATTTGGTTTGAAATGAAGTCGACGAACTGTTATTAAGCATCACTTGTGTTTTGTTGAACTATCTTAAGAATTATTGTAGCTAGCTATGTAGTTGCCAGTGATAACACACTTTGTCAGTGTGTAATAACTAATGTTTTGGTACATCGTTATCGTTACTTTTAATGAATTTTGTCTTTTCAATGCAGTACTGTATTCAGTATTACTTTTGTTCAACATATTGTGATCAAAATATTTCGCTATACTGTATACAGTAATAAAACAAGAGGAAGAGCTTGCATAGCTGAGTATCCTGCTTTCACAAGATTTATATTATGTTTATGATATTTATATCAAGTTGGTTTTATTCTGTGTGAGGCTTTGGTTTAAACTGTTATCGTATATCTGTAAATACTATTAACAGTATGAGATACAAATACAGAAATCTATTTTTATTAACCCAACAACATCATCACAGCAAATAACAATGCCAGTATTTTTTTTTTTTTTTACGGAATTAGCCCACCCGGCACAGGTCAAACGACCCACAACGGAGCCTGGGGGGCGAAAAAAAAAGAACGGAAAGAAATTGAAAATATAGAAAAAAAGGTTATACTGTATTAATCTACACCACGAAGATGCCGGAAAACCTAACGTCTCCAGTAGTCTTTAATGTAATACAATACAGTACACTGTAATCTTCAAGAAACTATACTGTACATTACTTAACCTTCACATCTAATTATTTTTTCTAAAAAATAACTGAGACAGATGCACAAGGAACTAGAAAACTACTGGGTAAAAATATACTAGAAATGATATTAATAATGTTTAGAATTAATTAACGATATTAGCTGTATTATACATTTAGCCGGGGTGCCTGGCTACGCAAACTGTTATGTTAAATAGCTGGGACACTTAGCTATGCAGCCACTTAAAAAAATAAAAGTCAAGTTTTTTAAATGCTATTTTTAAATGATGGCTAGCAGGCTTCTACATTAAGCCATTTATTCATTCAACCTAACCTAACATAATGATCTTAAAATGATTTTGAGTTGAGTTAGGTACTGTAGGTTGGGTTTGGTTGGTTTGAAGTATTATTGAGGAAAGAATTTTTAATTAATTTATGCAGTATGATATACAGTATTTGGTTTTTAATAAGAAAGGACTTTGTTATCACTTGAGAAAAATCTGCAAATCAAATTTTAGTTCTGGTTAATTCTTAAACTCTGGGAGGTATAACACATATTTCTATTCATTGTACAGGTTGAGGCTCCCATATACGGCATTCTAACATACGGCAACTCCCCAAAACAGCACCGTTTTCTGAAATTCCTTTTACCGGCATACCTTCTAAAGAACGGTGCAGTCAGATGGTAACGTGAACGAAAATTCAACAACCCGGCAAGCCTGCCATCGAGCGGCAGTGTCTTGTAGTTTCACAGGCTGGCTGCTAATGTTATGGTGGCATGCCAAAGACTCCCGCCATTAAGTTCATTTGTTTGAATTCACAGCTGAGGGTGGTGGTGTGCTTATTTAAGTGTTAGTTTTATTCTACCCTTAATGAACTGCACCACGGCTCCCAAATGTGTGTTTCTATAAAGTTACAGGTATACCGTGTACAATATTAGTACTGTAACTTGTTACAGGTACATAAGAAATATAACCATCTAGATACAGTAACAGGAATTTCCTTTGTCCGGCTCAGATCTTGGCCCATGGTTGCTAGATATGGGAGCTTCAACCTGTACAATATACAATATATGTACTGGTATATTATTTTTTTCCTCTGGCTGGGGGCAGTATTATTTATTCACCCCTGATCTTCAAGGTTTGTGAGCAGATTTCCTGGTGTTTATGATGTCACCGCCTTGATTTGAATATACATTAGATGAAGTGATTAAATGGCTAAACCATTACTGTACTGTATTTTGGTTCTCGGCTGTTTTATTTCCTTTGAAACTACTGCCAGTACTGTACAGTACTTCATTTGTTTTAAATTACTGTATTTATATTTGATGTATACAGTAAGTCTGCGCTTAACGTCGTCCCGCTTAACGTTGTTTCGGTATTACGTCATTAAACTTTAGAGACCAAAAATTCGTTTAACGTCCCGGTGATCAGATACTACGTTGTTTTGCATCGTCACAGACTACATTTTACGGTGCGTCACCTGCTCTCGGCTTGGCGCAGAGTCTCATTGACTCACCACCTGCCTTCCTCCGCTTTCACCCTCCTCCGCTCCCGCCATACTCCTCCCCTCCCGCCATCCGTTTCCTCTGCTTCACTACCCACCACACACTCGCTCTACCACCTCCACCCATCGGTAAGTACCAATACAAACTTAGAAGTTGTATACGTATGTATTATTTTCTTTAGAAATGGTAATGATTTTTGTATATGTAATGTATTTCATGGGGCAAAGGGAGGCTCAGTAACGTTACTCACGTATTTTATCTATTTCTTATGGGGAAAATTGATCCGCTTAACGTTGTTTCGTATATTTCGCATTTTTAGGAATGTAACCCCGACATTAAGCGAGGATTTACTGTATTACTGTACAGTAAAGTAATACAGTATTATTATTATTATTTTTTTGGCAAGTGTTTGCTGTAGCTTTGGTGTCCCTCACGCTGCTTCTTAATATGATAGTAAAAATATAATTAAAGATTGTGGGTGTTACATTTCTACAAAATAAGTAAACTTACAAAAGGATGAACCTAACTTATCTTATATAACTGTACTGAACTTCCTTAAATTTTGCATTACATTCCAGTTATTGAGGAGCTTGCTGTATTGCTATAGTTTGTGCAGTAGTTTTTTGTTCTTTGCAGCTTCACTGTAAAGGAACTCTCCTCCTTTTAACAGTCTGCACGTGGTAGTACGACTAAAACATGAGTGTTACAGTGATCTCACCCCACCCCTGTGATATGTACAGTCTCGTTCAAGATTCTTCGAACACTGCTGGAGACAGCTGGCAACTCAAGGCCGTTTGCTTACAATAGTACAGTACGTAGTAAAAATTATGAATAAATGTAAAAATGATCGGTGATTGGTTACTTAGTTCCCTGTTGCTTAATTTAATGGTTGGGTTTTGTTGTTTCATTATCATATTATACTACGTACTATAGTAAACAAGCAGCCTTGAGTTGCCAGCTGTCTCCAGCAGTGTTTGAAGAATCTTGAACGAGACTGTACCATAATGGAGCAGTCATTTTTTGCCCTCAAGCATCAGTAGACCTGATGGCAAGTTGGCATGGTGGGTAACACTGGCTGGTGTGTTATTACATGTATATTAGATGCCCCTCACAAGATGTGATGAAGACAGCACAGCAATAAGTGTTCTACTACAATTTTAGGAAGATATTGTTTCAAGCCATTTTTTTTTTCAGTAGAGCTTTAGTGGCAGAGTTAATTATTTTCCCATTTTGTGGAACTGGAACCCAGCATTCCTTTCCTAGGTTTTCATTTTAAATGGGTGGAATAAGTAATGCCATGCTGTGAACATATTGTTAACAAATCTGCTTGTTTTAATTCAATTAGCTACTGTATACAGTAACAAAGAGTACTGTACTCGTATTGCTGTCAAGTAAGGGCTTGTTATATGTACAGTAATTTATAAAAAAATTTCTTGAGTGATTGG